AAAAAAAAGAACAAAAGAATGTCTTTTGACCTAAAAGTGAAGCTAATGGTGCACGAGAAAGAATGAGAGGAGTGGAAGCAAAGCAGCAGGAGAGAGGGGCTGAAAGGAAACACGTTCATTTTTATCTGGCTGCTTCTTCTTTTTTTCACTGAGAGTCAAGGAATGCAACCAGGAATCTGGTGAGAGATAAAGAAAGGAAGGTGGATGGTACTGTACTGTACTGTGTGTGTGTTTTCTTATTGTGCAAGTCTGCGTCAGCTGGAGCGCGTACACTCCATAATGTTTCATTCATTAAATTTTAAGTTAAAAAGTGTTGTTTTAGCCACAGAAAAAAAGAGAAAAGAAAGAAAATAAAAAATAAAAAAAATAAAAAAATAATAATAAAAAAATAAAATAAATAAAATAAAAAAATAAAAAATAAAATAAAATCCTCTCCTTAAAGTGACATTTGGTGTAACCAAATGCTGAATAAGAAAAAATTGTATCTTCCTGTCACTTGAAGCACAATGTCTTATTGTTATTCACTTTAATTCTTTTTCCACCTCGTATAGAGCAATATCACATACAGAGGGTCAAAGAGCCTCTGTATGTGATATAGAGAAAAAAAACATAGTAAAACACAAGGTGATGGTACTTGTCACATGTCCTGGTCATATAGTTTTGTTGCCACCTCCTCCTCCAGCAGGAACTTGATACATGGTTAAGGTTACCATGTGAATCTCTTTTTCTGTTTTTGTTTTCTTTTTACCTTCTCTAGTCTGACTTCTCCCAGTATCTCCGAACCTTTGCTGGTTACAAAGAAGGTCAAGGTCAAACACTTAGACAACTTAGGTACCCACGTCCCCTGAGGTTTAGTATATTGCTGTGAAGTTTGAAGACACTCCATAAAAATATTAATAATAATATTGTAAAATGTTTCCTGAGTTGCACATTTGGTGTGACCTTGACCTTGACCTTGACGTGATTTCTACCAAAATTAAATCAGTTTGAAATGTTACTGGTATCTACCAACACACAAAATTTAAAAACAATATTTTACAAACTGTGAGTCTGTTGGGTCTGTGTTTCCACAAGCTCCGCTAGTTTAGAAACTTATTCTCGTTAACGACAAAAACAAGACAAACATCTTTTACTTGCTAGCAAGGGAAGTCTTTGCTCAAGAACGAGCTCTTGGAGCTCACGCTCCTAACCTGACTCCAGCCCAAAGTCCTTCAAAAGAGCAGCTGTCCCCGTAGCTATTTATTAACAAACTGTTACAATACACATCACAGCAAAAGCACCTCCCCTCGTAAGACCCCTCTTGGTTACAAAGACCAAGAGGGGTGTGTGTATGTATGTGTAAGCACCTATATGCATGTGCAAGAACGTGTGTGTGTGTATGTGTGTGTGACCTCCTGCTGACCAAAAGGGTCATAAAAGCAGGAAGCAACATCACAAGAAACAGATCTTTCAGATAGGATGTTTCTGCAATAAAACCTCCCCCAGCACAGAGTGGCTGGAGAGGTGCTCAGGATCAAAGGAATGTCTTGATCCTACTGCTTGAACCAAGACTGTACAAATTTAAGAACATAATGACAACATTCAACAATTAGACTTAACAGAGTCCCAGACTGCTAACAAACAGACAGAGAGACAAATGGGCAGAACTGATTACATACCCTTTGAGGGAAGAAAAACAATATCTGTTCATTTTCTCATATCTGTCATTTAGGCCTCGATGGTCTTGGCTCATTATCGACGTTAGACAGGCATACATTTATTACCAACGGCTTAATCACTCTATTTGTGAATGTGTTGGGAAAGCAAGGAATGGAAAGATAATGGTATTTTATTATTTGTCACAATGGCAATAAATGTGCCATGTCTATTGATGCGAAGTCACTAGAAGGGAGGGAATGATTTAGCTTTGTGATACATTATATGCATTAAAGTGCTGCATTTATTCCATGTGCCATTTACATCTCACGTCTTCCTGAAGACAGATAAACTCATATGGAATACTGACAGTGAATGATGCAGCAATAACAATTTGTGCTATGAGTGATAATGTGGAGAGATAATATTCAGAAACTCTTTCAAAATAACTCATTATGTATTCTGCTAAATTTAGAGCTTGTCAAAAAAAAAAAAGGATTTCAGCGAAAATAGACTTTAAAAAAAACACTTGTACAAACAAAGTATAGGCCTCTGGTGAAAAGGCATCATTCAACAGAGAACAATTTGCAAGTCGGGTTTAAGGCTGCACCTATTCAAATGCAAATACTGGTTGAAAACAACCAGCTCTGCAGCTCTTCAGTCCAGAAACTAGGATTTCTGTCAGTTTAAATCACCCAGTTCCATTCATGATTAAATAATTATGAATCATATGTTTTCCTTTCTGTGTTGAATTAACAATAAAGTGCCTGAGCAGCAATTAGTCAGTAGCTCCACCCAAGCTAACTGCTGAATATAAATGAACAGCAGGCCACTCCATTCTCTGCAGCTCTGCAGCCATGGCAAAACATTTTTCCTTCCATGGTTCGAGTAGCCTTGGAGCCATTCCCATTCAGTAGAGGCACATTGAAAAGGACTTGGCTGGCATTTAAATTCAGGTCTGACTTTGCTTTCTCAAGTAAAATACAATACAGGACACAAGGCAATGTAGCAGATGAAGAATATAGTGGACTTATTTGCATCTAATCTGGGCTCATTTTGGCATTTATGGCAGTTGTGGAACTGGTAAATATGTGTCTTGAGCCAGATTTGATATGAGCTACAGCAGGCACAAGTGTTGACATCTGGCTTTGGTAAGGTGGACCTTTGGCTGAGCTGCAGCGGCGAGACTCACCTTGAGTCAACATGATCGGTCGAGATATCTGTCTGGTGGTAAAGACATAAGAGACCTATCGAGGCAAAATCGTGGAGTTATACAGATTCTTGGATTGAGACAGGATATAATAGATGCTGACGTAGTGACGTTTGAAAAGGTTTAAAAGTGTGATAAATGCAGATAAAAATAGACAGTACAACTTCCACTCCACTTCTTCTTTGTGACGATATACACTCACAGGACACTTTATTAGGTACACCTGGCTTGTACTGGGTTGGCTCCTTTTTGCCTTCAGAATGGCTTAATTCTAGAAATAGAATTCATAGATTGCATAGGTAGAAACATAGAAACATTCCTCAGAGATTTGGGACCATTTGACATTAGAGTATCACACAGCTGCTGCCGATTTATTAGTGGCTCATCCACTTTGCATTTTTCATTATGACAAATATCCACATGACTGACATGATACCTAAAGGTGTTTTTCATTCACTGACAGGTGACAAAGGGAAAACTAAGATATCTTTACTTTGCATTCCTTTGATAACGAGCTCCCAGTCTCTTGATCCAATATTCTTCCACACAGTATTCCTTTTTTTGTTCTTTTGTTGGTGGTGGTACGAAGCACTACTCACTGATTTTAAGTTGGGTTGACATCTGGTGAAAGGCAAATCTGGAGCTCTATCAGCAGTGAAGAAATGTTTGATTGTACACTAAGACAGGTGAATTTTATCTACATATATTTGGACAGACATGCTATTTTTCTGATATATTTACCAAAACATATTCATGTTGCAAATTCATGTTGATAAATCACAGAGAGGCGAAACTAAAAACAGACTGCAACTTAAAACAAAAGCAACATCTTTCAAATTTACATACATTTGGAAACTTCATAGGTTTGACACTGCAGCTTTATTATTATGATAAGAATAAAATGCCTTATTGGAAAAAAAACTCATAAATAACTTTTTTCAATAACTAACCTTTTCACATATTACGTAATATGCTTCCTTATAAGCTTGCACTTGTAGCTGTTGCTCTCTTGGTGTGACGTATACCGGGTTGCGTGTTCTCAATTAATCATCAGTAAATCATTCGAATGGTTTACACATGGGCACACCGCCTGATCTGGAAACAAATCCAGCATGCACTGTTCGGATAGGGTAGCTAAAGACTCCTTTTCTCCTGGATGTCTCACTTCTGCGGTGTTTTTTAACTACTCCTCCGGTTATCTGGCAGCCAGCCATTTCTCCCAGTTGGACGCTATTACAGTAGGTAGGCGCTTGAGAATCCTGCAGGCGCAGAGAGGAGTTGCGTTTCACGCTTTGGCTTCATGGCTCAGCGGTCTGCTCACCTTGTCCCCATCGCGCTGCTGGTGTTTGGACTTGCCGGAATCCTGCTCCTTACTATTTCCACCGAGAATGTTCAGGAGGAACCTGAGCTCAGGGTAAGGTCGGATCGGTGCGTGTCAGTGTGTTGTGCGAAGGGTGTGAAACAGGTGATACATAAAAATAAAAAATAAAAAATAAAAAAATAAAAAAAAGAAATAAAAAAAAGAAATTAAATTAAATTAAAAAAAATTAAATGTGGGACCAGGGAATTCGAGGACATTAGCCTTGATACCTGGATGTAACAGCCAGTGACTACTCTTGTTTATTGTCCGGATTAAGCTCTGTTTTATGTTTAATTATGGCCCCATATTTTGAATTTACATTTTATATTATGCTTAATTTTTCTAGCCCAATAGGGCCGTGTCAGTTGCAAGTGGCTTGCTGCAGAGCCATTCAACACCAAATTCTGTTACTGCTGATCCCTCATTTTTGTGTCACCAGCTTAATATCCCATGGTTCCCTTTTATAATGTAGCTCCCCTTCCACCCAGCAATAACGTGGGAATCCAGTCTGAGAAAGCAAGCACAAAGGTTTTCTTCTACTTTTTTTCCGAGGAGACAAATGCAACAGTGTGTTGAAAGGACTGAACAGACAATTAGAGCGTCTCGTGTTTTGTTTGCCAAGTGTTGGGATTCCTCACAGCCGAGTGCACAGCAGTAATGAAGCATTATTATTAGGGGTGATTAGGAACATGTCTGTATATTGTTGCCGTTCACCTGCAGCACTGATATGAGACGCGTGTGGTCCCTTCCCTTTGCATTGTCGGTCACATGGGTTCCCGGGTGGGCAGATTTCAGCACACTCTCCAGATTCCTTTATTTTCAGAAGGCATTGAAGCTGTAATGATTTGATATTTATTGATCCACAGCAGCACAACGCAGACCTGCAACTGAGCTCAGAATTGAAATCTGTCTGGCTGCATAAACTTTTCCTTTAAATGTCTATACTACAAAGCATTTTACAAACAGCTGTGAGCATATACTGTAGCATAAAGCATGATCCTAAAATTATGATGAAGCACAGCTGAATCTGTGTTAATATTACAAGTTCAGGATAACTTGTAGCACCCACACTGTAAAAAATAAATACATTTCCAAATATAATTTGACTCCATTGTTTTGGCTTCTTAGAATTACAAATTATAGGCTTTTTTTTTTTCAGAATTTCATACTTAAGCCTCCTATTACTCCATTTCCAAAAAGCTGGGATGCTGTTTGCTTGTCTTCAAATCACTCTAACCATATATTGAAATGTCATACCACATATGCAGTTGTGAAACATTTATGCGTCGCAAAGATCATTTTATTAAAGTAACCCGTGATGGGTCTTGGTCTTGTGACATGCAGGCATATAAGATGTCTGAAGTTCTGTTTCTGCAGATACTAATTGTTTGTTTTTACTCTACTTGTTTGTGCAAGCCAATTGTAACACAGCAGTTTCTATGGCAGGCAGCACAACTGGAGTGTATGAAGTGCATTTAACTAAAAGTAAGGAAAATGATTAAAATGTATTTTAGTTGATGCTTTATGCTATTAAAGTCTTACTCTTCAATTTATGGATTTTACACTCAGGTCATTCCATTTGAAATCTGCAAATTTTTACAACTTTTTCTGCTCATCTCTGATTTACCTAAAAATACAAATCCAGAATAAAAACTGGCTGAAAAAAGTATTTAAAAACAAAAACGTAAGCATTTTATCTCATCTCGTTTTTTGTGTGCAGGCCTGTTGTTGTTTGTTTGTTTGTTTGTTTTTGTGTTGAAGTGTGTAGCTCAAATTGTAGCTCCTGATTCATTTAAAAACCAGTTAAAATTCAGGTTTATCTTTCATAGTATGTGTGACATTAATTTTCAACCATTACCTCAGATTTCAGTGTGAAATAAAACAACCTGAAAGTGGGGCAACAGGGTGCCTTTTAAGTTAATATATAAAAGTATTTAAGAGCTGAAGCTAAACTTTTACAGAAATTATTCTGTGTCCAAACTTTGGTTTGTTGTTCGGAGAGGGTCAAGCAGATGGTCCATGTTGATTTTTAGATGAAATGACTCATTTAAAATAATGATTTTCATTAGCCTTGAACTTGTTCGTTTTTTTTCTCATAGGGCCAAAACTTTGTATTATTTAAGCAGTGTGGATTGATGTAGTATTTGCATTGCACAACTCCATTAAGAGGACTCCACAGACAAACACAAACTGATTTAAAATAAAATAAAAATGTATTCTGGATACTGAGATATTTTATACATGTGCAGGGAGAGAGAGAGAGGATACATAAAGGAGGTGCCAGGTAGGAAAACAGACGCAGAAATCAGAGGCAGTTCATGGATGAAGGACATGCAGAGAGTTAGTGTGACCGGGGAGGGTGCTACAGATGGGGTGAGATGGAGGCAGATGTGGCAACCCCCTAAAGGAAGCAGCTAAAAGAAGAGGAAAACATGTTAGGACATCAAAGTCCTATTTTATAAAGATCTTATACTGCTGGATTAGTAGAACTTCAATTGAATCACTGTTTTCAAATCAAACGTGATCTTGTACAATATAAAATCCATAAGGCTCTTTTGATGATTGCCAGTTGACCTCATTTCTAGCCAGATGGTGAAGGTCACATCGCCACGATCCTTAAAGTCATTTTTGCTACTCTGCTATATTAAGTTGAGGTCTGTTTCAAAGCGGTTGCCACAAAAATCTTTGTAAAGGGTGGAAAAAATGTATTTTCACTGCTTTTTCTCCTGAATTTCCCTTCTCTGTAGTATGGGATTGTCCTGGATGCTGGATCCTCACACACATCTTTATACATATACAAGTGGCCAGCAAATAAGCAAAATGGCACAGCCGTGGTCACCCAGCATAGCAAATGTCATGCTGAGGGTAGGTATCATAAGTAGCACTTCCCACACCAAAAACATTGGTAGAGTTTTGCTTGAAAAACAAAGGGTGCTTACAGCAACAAATATTTGCAGGAAATCGTGCAGACTTGTTTGACACATACGTTCATTTGAAGCTGGTGCAGTTCGTTTAGACAAATGGAAAAGTTATGTATATGCAAAAGTTGTATAGCATATGGACAATAGATGCTCAAAGTTTGAATGGTAATTAAAACATCAATGAAATTGAAGGCATTTTGGGGGGGGTTCCCCTCCTTTCTTTCTTTCTTTCTTTCTTTCTTTCTTTCTTTCTTTCTTTTAATTGCAATTTTTACACACAAACCTTGGGAGAAGGAGGTCAGGATATTGTTTTGGTTTTTTTTGTTTTTTTTGTCTGCAGCTGTTCTTTCCCACACAGCAGGAAATAGTCTGCCTAAGATTCATTCACGGTATTGACTGATCTAATGAGAAGTAGCCTTTATTGTGCTAACAAAGAAGACTAACCAGTTTCATCGCAACTTTATACATTCATTATAAATGAACTACTCTTAAGTTAAACCTATTAGGTGTAGTTCATCACATTATTTCATAACAATATACATGCAGTTTACCTTTCATCTAATGGAAGAGTACTCTCATTACACCACATAGTAATTTATATACTTGGTTGATAATTGAGAAATAGTGGAAATCTTAATGATGAGTTGGTTGTGGGAAAGTCTGCATGGAGTTTTTTCTGAATGAGTCATTTTTATTGCATCACTGCACTGATGTCAAAGCAAATGTTTGCCTAGCAACAGTCATGAGTCAGGATCGAGTCAGAGTTGAGCTTTGTGGTTTGCCACTCCTGCCCTGTAAAAGGCTTTTATTCCTGTGTTAAACAACTTTTTCCCCCTTGTCATTCATGAGCACGGTGTTTATGCTGACATGTTTCATAATAAAACGATCCTAAGAAAGGATTTGTAGATGGATGTCTCGAGGAGGAAATATGCGTTCTTATTTAAATATAAAGCGTTTTTCTCAAATCATTTTTTTTCTGAATTAATGCAGATAACTTGCTTTAATATTACTTATTCTGTGACTTTAGATAACGTTAATATTTAAAAATTTCACACACAATTCAGCAGATTTTCATACAGCTGGCTGGGAAGCTGGGATAGTAGTTGGATTCTTTTGTATTGCAGCACCACAAGGATATGGGTCACAATTGCTAACACTGATTTTTGTGAATATTACACCAAGTTGATTATGTTATCAAACAGATTTCGTTTGTTCGACATGTTCATCATTCGCTCAGGTGAAGGAATTGCAAGTTATGCAGGTCAACCGGGAGCAGCAGGGCAAAGCTTAGAAGCATGTCTGGATCACGCAGTGAAGAGCATCGCAAAAGACAAGCACCAGCTCACACCTGTGTACCTGGGAGCCACAGCCGGCATGAGGCTTCTGCAGTAAGTTGTGTCTGTTTTGTTTCCATGTGTTTTAGTTATGCATCACCTTAATTTTGATCCTGTTCCAAGTAAATCTTGTAATAATGCTAAAATGGCAATCCATACTGGCCTTTTTAACCGGCTTACACATTCATTAAACAAGATGAATCTCATGGAGATGAATGTGTTGGGAATATAATTATTTCTGTGCCAAATATAGCAAGTTTCTACAGTGCAGAAGAAATCAGAGAAAAGTGAAAAAAGCTAAATGTTGTTTAAGAGTTCTCAGAGTAGCTGTTGCACTGTTTGTTGTAATGACTCCACTGGACAAACCTAACCACCTTCATGATATTGCCACCTACAATGTGTAATTGTTGTCAGTTGTGTTGGCATGCAGTGAATAGCCCTGTTTGACTCCTGGATAATAGACTAAGAGGTCCTGCTTCAGAAAATGAGAGGTATCCACCAAAAATGGTCTCCCCTAGATTCAGTTTCTCTCTTGCAAATTTCCTACCATCATAATGTGTTTTCTGTAAAGAGCTGCTTAAATGTAATCCTTCATTTAAGACCGTTTTAGCCAGATTATTTTAGCGGCAACCCTTGTTGCATTGAATGGTCTGAGGATGAAAAAATATAAACACGAGGAATAAGCAGTGATTGCAAATTTCATAGGGCTGAAGTCACATGTTTCAGGATAATTTGGCTGTGTTATGTTATTTTAAAATAAGGAAATTACCTTAAAAGTGTTTGTAGCCACCTGCAAGCACTTAAGCCTCTCCTCCCTCTGCATTTCTTATTGGAAAGGCAAACACATCCGAGGGTCTCAAAACCTGTAGATCCCCTCAATATCCACACACTGAAGTTCACAGAGAATTGATTGGACAGTGTAAAGTTGTTTTATGTGTTGATCTCTAGTATCCCGAGCAGGATATGTTTTACATTTGTACCAGTTCTATTGTGCCTGGTGGAGGGCATGCAGCAATGGGGTCAAACCAAAGTCTATAAAGTTAAGAGCATTGAGTGGGGATGGTGACGGGGCATTCAGACATGTAGATAAAATTGAAGGCATGAGTGTTGAAAATGCAAAGCATTATCAAGAAGAGTTTAAATGTATTCAAATATTTGGTTTAGTGGCTTAACGTTGCCTGCAGACAGGAATCCATCTTTTTATTTTCAGTTTAGCCAGCAAAACTGCCTGATTGGGTTTAGGCAGCTATCAAGTATGGATTTAAACATCTTGTCTGGAAGAAGGCCTCCTGTCCTTGTATGTGTACCATAACTCAATCAAATATGCAGCGGGAAACAGCTGGACAGTCACTCAGTCTAACTTGCATGCGTGCGTAAATCATTTGATTCTTGCAAATGTGTTTTAAAAGCTGTTTTGTCACAAATGCATTTCCATACACAAATACACCACCTCATTTTATAGTTTGAGCTGTTTTGTTTGTGGGTTTTACTGACGAGTATCAGCATGAATGTTTACTGAAATGTTTTTCATGTAGCACTGACACTAAACTTTAATGTGACACACAATCTTGACTTCAGCTTATTCTAAACTCTAATAATAATCATAATAATCATAATCATCATCATCCTTTAATTTAAATTTACTGAGAGATCTAAAGACCTCATAAGGATGACTTATAGCTTGGAAAATATCTGGAAAAGATTTCATATAATTTAAATGTTAGTTTTGACTTTAATCTGTTCTTTAGTTCCTGTCTGCATATTTGTCTCATGCAGAGGTAATGAACAGATTAAAAATAAATAAATAAAAAATCATAATGTTCTATAGTACTTCTAGTAACTTTATTATTTAATTTCTTCTTTGCCTTTTCTGTTATGAAGCAATTAAGTAAATGTAAATCTTTGGTGGGCATTTCTGCTCCCCTGGCCTTATGTTTGACACCCCTGATTTGCAGTTTTAAAACTTGTGCCTGAAGCTTACAGTAGAAGGTTTTTTTGTTTTGTTTTTTAATAATGAAGTGTTCATAATTATCATCATGATCATCATTCTTCCTAATGATTTGCTGAAAGTCTTATCACTAAAAATCTTGATTATATTTGTTTTTATTTGTTTTTCCTTGTTCAGTTTATCTAGTCCAGAGCTGTCCACTCAGATTCTGAAGGAAGTGGGACAAAAAATCCAGTCCTACCCTTTCGACTACCGGGGAGCAGCCATACTGAGTGGCAAAGAAGAGGGGGCATATGGATGGGTCACAGTTAACTATCTCTCAGAGAACTTTATTAAGGTATCCAAGTGTGTAAATGTGAAAATCAGTAGGAATCTGCAATATTATTTATGAGGAGACTAGAAGTCAGTTATTGCTGTCACTGTGAAACTTCACCAGCAAATTGATAACATTATGAGAGCGTTTGTATTGCAAGTTTTCTGAAAATGGCTTTATATATTCAGTAAGGCATTAGTTTAATTTGTAAATACTTTTCCAAAACAGAGATGCAAACATTGGATGAAGCCAGGTTTTTGTGACTGTTCCTTTGCAGTATGGCTTTGAGGGGCACTGGTTCAGCCCCAGCAGACCGACAGTGGGAGCTCTCGATCTGGGCGGCGCGTCCACGCAAATAACATTTGCTACTCAGGAAAAAATTGAGAACAAAGACGATCTGATGAAGCTGCGCCTTTATGGTCATGAGTATACTCTGTACACACACAGCTTCCTGTGCTATGGGAAGGACCAGTTCCTCATGACACTGCTGGCTCATATAATGAAGGTAGTGTAACGTGACACTTAAATCACAAGAAAAGCTCAAAAGAAAAATCCTGTCCACAAAATGACTGTTTTTCAGGATTTTACATCAATTACTTTTATACATGAACTAATCAATTTATCCAAAACAAGATTCATCCCAAACCTAACCAGTCACTAGGCCTAACCAAATGTTAGATCTTGCCACAAAAACACAGAATGACTACAGGGAGCAAAGAATAGAGCTGAGATGTTGCTGCTGCCAGAACCAGACTTTCTAAGCAGCACCAGGAATGTTGCAGCGGAGCCAATCAGCAAAATGCTGAGATTTAGAGAATGTCACTTAGTTATTCTTCTAACCACAGTGTAAAAAAAAAAAAAAAAAACCCCACTTGGGTCATAATGCGAACACAGACGGCCAAATACATAAATGATGAAGAAGGGGACAGGCCCAGTGATTCTGAAACTCTTTTTCTGAAATCGCCACTTCAGGTTCTCCCTGGCTTCAGTCTAATTTGATGCGTAGTATTAGACTTTAGCTTTGTAACACAGAAATGTTCACTCCTATAATAGAATAACGTAAGTGTAGGTATCTGGCTTTAAAACTGGCACACATTAAAATGAGTTACTAGGAACTCCATTCAGTAAATGTCAGCTGCAAGTTAAGGTAGAAACATGCAGCTATGTAGAGAGGAACATATCTAACTATACTGATGTATTTTTAAGGTCAACTTCTCCAATAAAATCACCAGTATAATGTATATAAGATCATTGTACTCAATGTTTCCTCTTCCTCAGTCTCAGGGTTACCCTCAGTCTGTCACTCACCCCTGCTATCCTGCAGACCACAGCAGGACGGTGAAGCTCAGCAGTATACTCGACTCTCCATGTACAGTAAAGTACAAACCCAGCTCCTACGACCCTCATGCTTCTGTGACAGTACATGGCAGCGGACACTATGAATACTGTCTGGGTAACGTGTCTGAAGTCTTCTCCTTCAACAGCTGTCCCTTCTCCCAGTGCTCATTTGACAAAGTCTTCCAACCAAATGTCACCGGAGGTTTCATGGTAAGAGAAGCAGAACAAATGCTTTCTTGAACTTAAAGCTCAGCCTGTATGTCAAAGGTGCCGCCACAATCCCAGATTTCTTTTCACAAAACTTTAATGTTTTAAAGCTGCTATACTGTTTCTGAAAGTAACATCATTGCAGACCACACTATACATTCAAGATTGTTCCTGTCCATGCTGTCATAAGCACAGGTCTGTTTATCAAGGGTAGTTGAATATTAACATTTGCTTTCCTCCTGAACAGTGACACCTTTTCTCAGGTGTGGTTGGGTAATCAAATTACACCTGCCCTTCATGCCAAGTCATTCTAACCTCGAACATCACCAGATGTTTTGAGTCTCATCCTCTCTCACATTAAGACGGGCCTCCCCGCTGATCAACCTACAACAATTTGCATATCAAGCAAACATGTCAACGGAGGATGCAGTCATCATAGCTCTCCACAACTAAATCTGGAAAACTCCAGTGTAAGAATGCTGCTGTAGGTTTCATGAGTAACAGATCCCAGAATATCAGGGTGGGAGATCGCTCTTATCCTGAACACTGGCACATCACAGAGGTGTGTTGTCAAATTTACTGATCATGCCACCATAGCAGGACTAATATCAGAATGGTGAAACCGCCTACATAGAGGTGGTCTGTAATCTCAGATTGGTGTTATCGCTCTCACCTGGACTGAAACGCTGCATAAACCAAGGAAACAATAGTGGACTATCTCCAGCAGACCAGCTTCTACCAGTGAGCCGTCAAGTCTAGTTTCAAAACAAAAAAAATTATATTTATATTGGTCCCTTTTTTTTTTTTTTTCTTTTTTTGCTTCAAACCTAGAGCTGATAAACAATGTTTTATTATTTTGTGAACAATCATGGTAGAGATGTCTTCTAAAATGATTCCTATGTGACCTCCTCACAAATCTTACACATTTTGAAGGGGTTTTGATCTTTGGAAAGAGACATTGCTGCTGAGTTTTTTTAGATACCCCATAGTTCTATTCAAGAGAAGGCATGTCGCACTAACGCGATCTTGAGTGGAAAGCATTTATATTCTATCCAGGGTGAGCTACCATTTAACTGTACTGGTGGTAAGTGCATATAAACCAAAACATATCTTGAAGTTCCATCCACACAGGATGACCCTGATGGTTGGCCACTAGTATTAATTCCAGGCTCTGGTTGCCTGGGTAACCCTCTATTGCGTTTCCTACTGTATCAGAGGTCAATCAACTCTGCAGTTGCTTGACGTTGCTGAATATAGTTAACTTTACACGGTTGCCTTTCAACATGGCTAACTTTTATTTGATTGTTGTGCTGTAGCTGTATCACTTTTTACATACAAGCTTTTTTCTTTTCCCTTTTCTGTTTTCAGGCTTTCTCTGCTTTCTTCTATGTTCACTCATTCCTTCAACAAGTCACTGGCATAACTGCTAGCTCTCCTTCGGAACTACAGGATGTGACCAAAAAAGTGTGCAGCATGAGTTTCACCCAAGTAATCACCTTTTCTATTCATGCTTTACTTATCCAGAACATCTGTTTCTGGCAGCATGTGAAAATATTTATTGTATTTTTCCAGATGATGCTTCTCGCTCCAGAGCAAAAGTCCCGTTTGCATTACTACTGTGCTGCCTCTGTGTTTCTCAATACTCTCATGTTGAGAGGATATGGCTTCAATGACACAACATTCCCACACATTTCTTTCCAGAAGAAGGTGATTATTATCTCTTTCCAGTTAAAAACAAAACATGTCAATGCTCCATTGCAAATGGATGGGAGTTGATCCAAATATATTCACATCATTATGTTGCTGACCCTGCAGGTTGCTGACACCATGGTGGGTTGGGCTCTGGGCTACATGCTGAGTTTAAGCAATTTGTTGCCAGCAGAGCAACTGGAGCTGAGAAAGGCCCTGACCCCAGGAGTGTGGGGATCCCTCATCTTTCTTTTTGTCATGCTCCTTGCCGCAGTGCTTTCCTTCTGCTTATTTAGAGTTTATAATGGACAGAATAAGGAAAGAGGCAGTGAAAGCACAATTTAGCTAAGAAATGATGTCAGGGTTTTGTTTTTTTGGGGGGTTTTGTTTTGCTCTGAACACTGACCCGACAAGGAAGATTTGGGGCAAGATTTAAGTTTTAATTTAAGCATATTCTCTGTTATATAATACCATAGTTTGCTTTTGAAAATTTTTTTACACCAATTGACTTATTTTTAACTAGTGCTAAATGTAAACTGTGGTTTGTTCATTGACTGCAAAAGTTTTAACATGACATACAAAATGTTTTGACTTTAACATGTTTATACAGTTTGCTGCTTTAACCTATAATTCAGTGGTATGTATAAAATGAGTGAAACCACTGCATTAACTTGCTGTGAATGTAAACTACTTTAAAGCTGACAGTGAGTACTCTGACTGTAGTTTGAAAAACAATGCCAACGTGAAAGTGCCTTAAAAGTGCATCTTTTTTAATGGCCAGCAGGTGGCAACTCGCTCAAAAACACTGGAAGTCTACTGGAAAATGGCCCCCGGCTTCCTTTACTCTGACCTCAGCGAACCCAGTTTTTGATGCAAGTTTCAAGTCATGCTGAATAAAATATTAAATGCATTTTGTGAATATCTGCTGCTATTTGACTCAGAAAGGCATTTGACCACAGATATTATCCAATGACCTACTGTAGGTGGGCAGCAGTTGTCCTTTGCTTCTCTGTCAAATCCACCCTTCACTTGGCACTAGGGCTGAAACCGAAGATGGCAGCACTGCATGTACAAGGATGCCAGCTGCCGTTAAACTCCGAAGAAGAAGAAGAAGCTCTGTCCCAGAATTCATAATGCGGCCCTGCTTAGTTTACAACAATGGTGACAGCTAGTTCATCTTAATATTACTCTTATTATTCTTTCTGGGTCACAAAATAAATGTTTAACATATTTTCAGGCGAGAATGTAGCTGTGTAAACCTCAAATATCTGCTCAGTTTATCAAGACACCGCATATTTTCAAAAGCGCTCCAACGTTTTTGGAGACGTCTGTTACCCACTAGCTCGATAGTCAGCCGGGGGCAAGGCTCACTAGAGCCCGTGAGAACACCGGACTCCCGGCAAATAGTTTTCAAACTCACCACAGTCTTTC